TATTTTCATTTATAACCAACAATTATGAATGGATTTTCAAAAAATGTAATTACCAATCTATTTAATGTTGATAGAGATGTAGATCTAGTTGGCATGGCAACAGCAATTGAAGTAATGGTGATATTAGTATAATTCCACATACTAGTACAGAGTGTGTATTTTCATGATCAAGGAATCCAATAACGTGGATAAAATTACAATCGTTTTCACTAAACATTGGACGATCAGATTGTGGTAAATGTTGATACATCAGAGCAAGTGCTTAATGAAATTGCCACTGATTTTATCACTACTAATCAAAACATTATAACTGTAGCCTAAACATTTTTGATACGATGTATACCTGTCCGAGTCTCCGAGGCGCCATTCTGTCTTTTATTGTTTGCGCAAGACATTTCCGAGTTGTTTTTTACTCATTCATTTACATATAATGTTACGTTTGTGTGTGTGTCCCGGTAGTGTGTCCAGACACCCAGAGCATCTAACGCGGGAAAGTCGGGAGTACATGTAATTTGGTAACAAAATGCAGTCTCATAAACGAGGATTCGACACACAATTTAGTGTACGACAGAAAATTGTTGAACTTTACTTAAATGGGCCGTCATGTAGACAAATTGCACAACAAACTGGCATGTCAAAAAGTACTGCGAATAATATATGTACTAAACTTATTACTAGCGGTGATGTTTCAGCTGGGAAGCACGGACGAAAACACGGTAACAGAACATGCTTGACTGATAATATTTTACAACATATTGAATTTTATAAACGTCGACAGCCTACTATTTATCTGCGTGAAATTCAGTCAAAGTTACGCCAAGATAATGTGTGCCTCGATGTCCCCAGTTCATCCACGGTTTACCGGGGACTTGTTCACCGCCTACACATGACGAGGAAAAAGTTAAAATCTGTTGCTGCAGAGTCAACGACTGACATTAACGAACAACGAATGCTTGATTTTATCGATACCATTTCTGATTTTGGACCAGAACAGCTGCACTGGTTTGACGAGGCGTCTGTCATTTGTACTACTGGAAACTGGCGTTACGGGCATGCAGAAATTGGTAAACCGGCGACAGAAATACAGTGGTTTGCGTCTAATGTTAATTACACAATAAACCTGCTTACAAGTATATTTGGTGTCGAATATTCTGATATCATTGTTGGACCTTCCAATGCTATGGAAATGATGAACTTTTTTTTTGAAGCAGTCAATGTAGAAGACCACGTTGGAAATCGTTGTTTGACACCAGGAGATTGTGTAATCATGGATAATTTGTGGTTTTCATCACGCCAGGATTGTCGAACCTAATTTGGAACATTTATTACAACCGCAAGGAGTGCGCCTAATTTTTCAACCACCATACAATCCCCAGTATAATATCTGTGAACAATGTTTTCGGTCTATAAAATCGTATTTGCGGGGAAACCAGGAATTTTCCTATAGATTTACTGAGTTTGCTATAGCAGACGCCATTGGTCACATCACCCCTGGGGCATGTCAAATTTTTGCTAGAGAAAGTGGTTACGTGTGATTTGCTTCCCGCCAAAAACTGGTCAATACGAACTGAAATGGAAGTCAACTTGTACCAGTATTAAGACAATATATATTCACTTGTTATTTTTTTTATTTTGTTTTATAATCATCTTTATTAATAAATAAAATAAGATGACAATAAAAACTACAATAATGCTGAACAACATGTAGTATTTATTTTGAAAAGTTAACATTAACATGGGAAACTGAACGGCCGATAAAGCAGTTTTAACAATTTAAGTTTCGTTTACAAATATTTAAATATTTGACCTAAATTTGGAAAATCCTTGGCTTTGATTGTACTGAAGTATAGCTAGATTATATCCACTTCATGGTACATGGAAAACCATACAATGAAAACACTTTAAATTTGAGAAGTATCTTGTAATGTTCGTAATGTCATAACCATGTGGAAAATAAAATCAGTCATGGTACTAGTATTCTGGTAAAAAACACAAACAATATTTTTACAAATCCGCAGATTTAGATGCGATATTCGCCAAATCTAGTAAAGTTAGGCAAGACTGGTTTGTTTCGCCGAGAATCACACCCTCTGGGTTCTCCTTTTCCTTGGCTGTAGGTGCCAATTCTGGAAATTCCACTTGGTTTTCTATTTCAATTTTGGGTTGAGGCGTAGTCAATGCTGCTGTTGGTATGGGTAATGGTAAACTTGGACTTGTTTCCGCGGGTCTTGCCATTACTGTACTAACTGGTGTAACGGGAACTTGCGTTGTTGGCAGGCATTCACTAAATATAGGTGCTGGCATTGTCATCACATTGCTAGTAGGTGGTCGCATAAACGCCCAAGGGTTGATAAATGGAGTAGGATTTCCATACCATGGCATCATATTTTGCGGAATAACCATTCCTGGGTTGGGCTGTGCTGGAACATACGGAGTATAAACTTGATTTGCCTGGTGTGGAATTGTAACTACGGCTGTCGGCGACGGAGATGAAATAGCATGTTTCAATGGCGAGGTTTCCTTGGATTGTTTTATTGTGCGTGTTGTTATTTCATGCTCGTCTTTCACGTCGTCGTCATCGGGTTTAAATTCAGAAACCTTTCGTTTTCCCATTTCCAATAATTTAGGTAGATCAACTGCATCTTGGAGATTTCCTGGTGGCAATTTACCATCCACGGCGACTTTAAGGAGACGAACATCTTTTAATAACTTGCTGCGTCCCTCTAACCCAACGTACTTTTGTGGGAAGAGTCGTTGCAAGCGTGGTTTTAGAACACTGGCAAACTGGGTTGTATTTTTAGCTATGAAAGACTTCACAGACTGTAATTCCCCTTCTAATGCTTTCATCTTGTCTTTCACGTTCTTTATTTCTTTGTCTTTCTGTAAAATTGAGAAGAAATAAAATAAGAAAATGGAGAAAATAAACTACTAAAATTTACTAACCCCATTTGAAGTGCGAACAAAAGAAATGTTTGCTACGAATTAAAATTATTTTGTGGTGGTGTTTTATTATTAGCCATCACCACTGTACATAAAGTAGGCGTGAAAAATACGAATTAAATCATTCGATAAATATTTCGTAGCTTACTTGACGTAATGCTTCTGAATGTTCCCGGTGTTTATCTAATCGACCACAATACATATAACCAGCACATGGTTCATAACAACACTCACGACGGTTTATGTTCCCACTTTCCCTGTGTCCTTTATGGTGACATAAATTGCATGTAGCGTCAATAGCTCGGATTCCTGGTAGTGCAAGTGTGGCTAAAGGTGGTGGCAGAATCTTCAAATCTGTCCACTCGCGTTCAAGTACAAACTTGCTTTGTGATAATATTTCTAACTGGTCCTCCAATTCTTTTTGTCTGTCAGACATAGTAGGAGCCTGTGACGGTTTTTGGCGTGGCGTTTCACTTTCAACATTGGTAGATGTTTCGTCTCTTTTGTAGTCCAATCGACGTCTCTTGCCAGTACTTGAATTAGAAGCCCCTAAATTACTGTGAGTCATGGCCGAAGATGACTTAACCGCCGGGGAAGTGCCGTCGACAACGTACAATTGTTCACGCATTGTACCACCTTTTAAGCGAATAGTGTCCACTATCACATCACGGTATCGTTCGGTTGGTGGTAAATCAACTCGCTGTCCATCTTCGTCCATGATTTGCAGACGAATAGCCTGCATTCGCCTTAAAAAAGCAATCTGTTCACATAATAGTCAACAAAATTTTGATATGACATGCACATAAACTCGTCTTCTTTAACATAGATGGGAACAATTCTGTCCTCCGTGTAATAAGTAAAATGTAGCTTGAAAAGATATTCAGCCATTGTCCAAAGAGCGTTGTAATAAATCAGCAATGCTGGTCAGGATTCACACTGTTCACTCTAAAAAAAACGACTCGGAAATGTCTTGCGCAAACAATAAAAGAGAGAATGGCGCCTTGGACTCAGACAGGTATACATTGTATCAAAAATGTTTATGCTACAGTTATAATGTTTTGATTAGTAGTGATAAAATCAGTGGCAATTTCATTAGGTACTTGCTCTGATGTATCAACATTTACCACAATCTGATCGTCCAATGTTTAGTGAAAACGATTGTAAGACGCGCACCACTCTACATTGTATTTATATGGGCTCTGTGCGAGCTGCCGGGTGAGCTGCTGTGAAACACCGGTCGAAAAGCCGGTGAAAATAGC